ATATAGAAAAAAAGAGAGCATATATTTAATTTAAAAGTACAAATATAATATTAATAGATCAAAAAATAGCCCTAAAATATTAAATGGAAGAACTCATAGGGAAAGGACATAACTGCAATAATCTATATTTTGAACTAATTTGAGAATGTATTATATTGTCCAAATCCGTTTAGAAATAGGAGAGTCTATATTATTATAAAAGAAAAAAATACAATATTAATAAACCAAAACAACCCTAAAATATTAAATGGAAGAACTTATAGGGAAAAGACATAACTGTAATAACCTACTTATTAAAAATATATAGGAAGGTTTAATAAAATCAATTCCATAAGAATCCTCCGTTGTGGTAATACATTAACACTCCATAATGTTTAATACCAAAAAAAATAAAAGTAGTATTAAAAGGACTGCATAAAGAGTTGAAGTTGAGAAAAAACAATATCCCCAAGATAATATATTTTTATATTATATATAAAATATTTTTCTACTCAAATAATATTTTTTTTATTCAATTGTTTGTGTAATACTAAAAAATACTCAATTATTAAGCAACAACTAAGAAAATATTTAAGAATATAAATGTGTGAGAAAGAGAAAAAAAATAGTTGGTAAGAGTCAATACCACTAATGATTCTACAAACATAAAGATCTAAAAGTGAAATATCATATCAAGTTTTTACTATTTGAAAATAAAATTTATGATGGATAAAATTATAATTAAGATTAAATATTCAAAACAAGAGATGAACTAATATTAAGATCTGAATCAATATAGAATAAATTATTTTTTATGTTAAAACTAAATAATTAAATCCTTTAATTAATTATTTATTAAGAGAATCTGATTCAGTTATTTTTTAAATTCATCATATGAGTAAAATTTTTATTCAAGTTTTTTTTTTAAAACTAGGATACATAAATTTATTCCATAAAAAGAGCGTTAGAGATTAAAAAAATTAGAACACAAAATAAAAAGTTAGTATATTATTAAGAATCAAAATATTATACAAGTGTCTAAGGAAGCATACAATCAAAGCTAAATCTTAAATAAGATCAAGCTTTCAAGACTATATTATAAAGAGTTGACTCTGGTATAGCGGGATTATTCCTTGTAGATGCCTCCGGCGGAATCACAATAATATTCTATCTCATGCATTACTTGCAAATATCATATCAAGAGGCATGATACTATTAGCAATAACAGTAAGTGGTGTGCCAACAACGATTTTATTGTGAGGCTACCCACTTTAGATTTGATATAACTCTTCAAACAACTTAAATAATCATCACAAATATATCAAAGCAGAACAATATTGGTAAATTTATAAGAAAAGCAAAATTGATTAACTAAATAAAAGGTTGATTGCAAGATTTTATAGTAAAAACAAAATATTTTTCAGTTTCTGACTTAGCAGAAATGATACCAATAATTACTACCAAGAAGAATACTTAAATATCAAATGGCCCTCTACCATACATGTTTGTTGTCAAGTTTATTATTTCTTACGTATGTTAGTGTCACTGTATATATAATAGACTAATTTAAAATTGATCTTCCATTGTATATAGGTTGATTTTGAAGAAAAATATGTCCTTCATGCTACTGAAAAACTTAAATATGCTGAATAGCTTATGTAATAGCACACAAATGGTATATAGAAGTTTTGACAATAACGTCAATACGCAAAAATTATGATACTGGTCAATGTGCTTCTAAGTATATTCATATCCCTGAATTCAACTTTGGTCTTCCAAAACTAAGGAATATCCTTTTAAATTTGTGTGAAAAATAATTTTTAGTGTGTTTATGTTTTGCAAATATAATAAATAAAGCACAAGGAAAAACATCCTAAATATTGAACTTTATTTACCGCGATATGTTTTATTGCACGAACAACTGTATGTTGCACTTTCTAGAGTGATATCAAGATCGACAATAAGAGTTTTGGTTAAGGCAGAGCAACCAAATCATTACGAGAAAACATACACGCAAAAATATTGTCCACAAAGAAGTGTTTGGTAAGATTCCATCACATTAAATACTTTTAAACTATACTCCCTTCGGTCCACTTTAAGGTTAATATAGTCAATTAAATTGTTAATTAAAGCTAAAAAGTAGATTCCTTAATATGTGTGAAATCAACCAAAAAAGTTACTAAGTGGATCAGAGGAAGTAATAGATAATTATCTAACTAACATGACAAAATTGATCATTTGTGTAAGTTTTGATGATGTCTTTTTATTTTAAATTCATGTATTATGCTAATTGTCTTGAGCTGAGGGTCTATCAGAAACAGCCTCCCTATCTTTATAAGGTAGGAGTAAGGTTTGCATACACACTACCCTCCCCAGACCCCATTTATGGGAATACACTGGGTTCTTTGTTGTTGTTGTTGTTGTTGTTGTTGTTGTTGTTGTTGTTGTTGTTGTTGTTGTATTATGTAATGTAATTCAATATTTTTCAGCATTTAGATGATTGTTATATTATTATACATAAAATTTCCCGCATTAATTAAATTTTATTATTCCTTCATATAAATAAATGTTTAAATCATCACGTGTCATTGTTAACGTGCAACGCACGTTCATAGATACTAGTTTATATTAAAATTATCAATCCCATTCTTATGGGAATGAAATAACCGACGTTGACTTATATATATATATATATATATTCCAAATAGAAAACTTCAATTTGTTCGCAATATTAATTATATCTTCTGTGCTAGCAAAGAATATAATAATATTTCATTTGGACTAATAACTAAATCTATTTGGCTAATTAAATTCCTTAATTTAATTATCAAATAATAAATTACTTAATCTTTTAGCAAAGATGAGAACACTCGTAAGTGTGCGACCCCATAGGTTCAATACTAAACCGGTAGTAAATTGACCACATCAATATACTAATCGAGAATGGCGTCTAGCAACACANTAATTCTACAAGTATTCAATCGTGCCCAATATCCTTTCAACTATCGCCCTAGGGCCATAGGTGTCTAGTACTAAAGTACAACAAATAACTTGTCAATTACTATGATGATCTCAGGTCAAAGGAAAATCTTACATCACATTATTCAAGAGAATATCCTATTAATAGTTTATGGTAATTCCAACCATTAGGAATTATCCAATGAGTCGGTTCAATGATTATATCTCTATATGCATCATCTATCTATGTAATTTAGTTAATGAGATCAACTAATCTTTATCTCATAAAGACGATTACATAAATATTGATCTAACCGGATTACTAATGTCCAAATTAATAATCCTACGATCAAGAACAAATTTAGATTAAATTATAAGAAACTTTACTCTCATTATCATGATCTCCATCACAATGTCAAGTCTCAAAATTTAATCAAAGACCTTATCAAATTAATCAAGCAATTAATAACAATGATAAAAGAATATCAAATGTCATATATATTTTATATCAAATAACGTTCACAAAAATATGTTCAAATCATCAAATATGATATTGGATCTATGGCATATCTACTATATCCCTAACATCTTCAACATCTATAAACATTTTCCCTAATAGCTTCTTGTTTCTATTGATATAGTTCTAAATTTGGTAACCTGGGAGTAGGGATGGCGAATAGCCTCTTACTTTTCTTGACGACAAGTCCAAATCCATCTGAAAGGTCAACATTTTCGCCCTCTGGGAGTTTCCAATCAAAGGAATGCAGCAATGAAGCCAATATAAACATAAGCATTTTCTCAGCTAAAGGAAGGCCAGCACAAACTCTCCCCCCTGATCCAAATGGAAGGTACTTCATATTATTGCCAGCATAGTCTAAATTTGTAGAGTGACTCAAGAACCTAACAGGCTGGAATTTCAATGGATTTTCCCATATTTGAGGATCCCGATGAATTGCATAAACATTCAAGAGTACTTTAGTTCCCTCAGGTATTGTGTATCCGCCAACTATTGCAGATTGGCTTGGGCGCTTAGGGAAAAGCAGCGGTAATGCAGGGTGTAGACGAAGTGTCTCCTTTACAACTGCATCAAGATAGTGTAGTTTTGGTAAATGGGATTCTTCAACAGTGTTATTCATACCTATGACATCTTTCAGTTCCTTTTGCACCTTTGTCATTACCACCGGGTTATTCAGAAGCTCCGCCATTACCCATTCGACCATCGTGATTGTAGTGTCAGTCCCACCAATCACAATGTCCTACAGTGCAAAAACATATATGAAGTCATGGCAAGAGAATTTTGCCGTAGCCTAAATTTGAAATGCCTGCTTCTATCCGTAGGGGGGATGTGACATTCATGTTTAGGTGTGTATATATATGAGCATCTTTTTAAGACTATTCTAACTAATTATGCGATTCATGCATCTTGATCAAGAACTCAAAATATTCTCATATTTCTTCAAACTAGTTATCCCATTGATTCTGCATTCAATAAAAATGATTTTTAATAACGGTGGTGTTCGAGCAAACTTGCACGCACCTCGACTAATTCCATATTGTACCGGCTCTGCCTACCATGGCTTAGGGAGATAGGAAAAAATAACCTACTAATATTTTTTGTCTATGATGGGACTTGAACCCTTGTTTCCAAGGTTTGCACCCACTTCATTAACCAACAATCGCTTGGCCACACCCTTGGGTGCTTCGGTAGACAGTATAAACTTTGAATAAGACTGTTAAATCTTTAGACTGATTTCTCGTAAACTAAAATGATAGATTCTTAGGATAACAAATTGTAAGGAGACAAGCAATGATATAAAAAATAGATAGAGACCCTATAACTTACCAGCAAGATGGCCTTTATTTGCACCAAGTCCACCGATTTACCAATATTTTTCTGCTCCATTAGCTCTAATAGGATCTGCATAAAATCCTTCTTGTCATTCCCCTGGATTTCATCCTTTCTTTTGTCCGAAAGCATCTTCATGCATTCGTTTATGGCAGGGTCCAATATATTTTCAACAGACTTCAAAAGAGCCTCCATCTCTTTCTGTATTCCTTGTAAATCAAACCTGGCAAGCATAGGGAAGAAGTCTGATATGTTTGGCTTTGCCAACATTTGAGTAAATTTTATCACCAATTCCCTGAACTCAGCTCCATCTTTTGCATGCTTCTCCTTCTCCTCTACAAAATTACTGCCAAAGATCATACTCATGACTACATTCATTTCAGTTACAAAAGCTAATTCACCAATGTCAATGGGGTAGCCAATCTTGGTATGCACTTTTCTAATTGTCTTTCTGACCTCCTGTTTCCGAAGACTATAACAAGCCTCAAGGTTCCTGTTGCTTAGCATCTCACTCACAAACAGTTTGCGTATATCACGCCAGTAGGAGCCATAGGGAGAAAATGCAATATCTAATCCACCATATGTGGCCAGCAATCCTGCAATTGAAGAGTCACGGTTGGCATAAACGGAGTCTTGATCACGAACTACTTCTTTGGCTAAGGATGGTGAATTCAGCACAATACATAGTTTGCTTCCTAGCCAAAACTTGTATATTGGACCATACTGTTGAGACAACTCTGTAAGCTGGTGGTGCAAATTGGGGCGGAGGAATGGTAAGAATCCCAAAATTGGAAGGCCACGAGGCCCTGGCGGCAACCTAGGTTCTGTCTTCTGTGGTATATTTGATGTCCTTTTGTACCATATAATTGTCAGGAACACAATTGAAAGGGTAATACCTGCAAGACCAAGCTCGTTTAGAGGTGCGAAAGCCATGTTTAGTATGGGGAGATAGTGCTGTATTCTGGGCCGGGCCCGGGCCTTCGTGGGCCTGGGCTCTGGCGGTCCCGGACTTCGTGGGCTCAATGGGTGGAATCGGCCCGTGACGGGCCTAAGCCCACATGGTCTTGTGCTTAACGGGCCGGGCTCGCGGGCTTCGCGGGCCTAGCGTTTTTTTTTTTTAAAGACAATTTCTTGTAGTATCATGGCTATATTAAAAATATATATGTAGTA